TTGGGGACGAGGGGCACTGGCAGAGCTGGGGGGAGCCCAGGGCTGGGGTAGCAGGAAGCTGTGGGTTGGGGGAGAGGGGCACTGGCAGAGCTGAGGAGGCAACTCCCCATGCCCACAGAGACCCCTCTAGCTGCCTCGCTCCTTCTATCGCTTCCCCCTCCCCGGCAGTGCAGTGGGGCTCCCCTGATCTCGGCCACCAAGCAGTGGGGTCAGGAAGCACTAGGGGGCAGGTGCCTTGCTCAACCCCCATCCCACCTGGCCAGGCTACAGGGCCAGTGGCTCTCAACCTTTCCAGACTACTGTAACCCTTTCAGGAGTCGGATTTGTCTTGCATAACCCCAAATTTCACGTCACTTAACAACTACTTGCTTACAAAATCATACATAAAAATAGAAAAGTGTCACAGCACATTATTACTGACATATTACTTACTTTCTCCTTTTTACTATTATAAAAAAATATATAAAATAATTATAAAAAAATCAAATGGAATATAAATATTGTACTTTCATTTTGCTTCTCGGTTCTCTATGAGCTGAGGGGTGAAAACATTATATATAGAGCAATATATACAGGTCATTGTATGAAATTTTAGTTTGTTCTGACTTTGCTAGTGCTTTTTCTGTAGCCTGTTGTAAAAGTAGGCAAATATCTAGATGAGCTGATGTAGCCCCTGGAAGATCACTGAGATCCACTGCTATAGGGCTTTTAGCCTGGCTGGGGAGGGGGTAAGGGATAGGGGAAGAGGCAGCATGTGTGTGAGAAGAGGAATGTACACATTGATGAGCAGGTTCATACATATTCATGAAGTTGACCCAGATGGGGCTTTCAAGGTAGGGTGACCATATTTCCCAAAGGGAAAATGGGACACAGTGCAGGGCCTGGCCCGAGTGCCCCCCCCTCCCCCGACGGGGCTGGCCTGAGCTGCTCACCCAAGCCCTGCCTCCCCCTTCCCGTGCACAGCCGGCGCTCGGGTCACCTGAGCCCTGCCTGCCCCCTGCACGTTTATCCACACCAAACCACACCCCACCTTTTTGACAAAAGTGGGCATTTGTCGTTTGCTCTTGCCAACTGATGAAGTCAAAAAAGTCGGGATGGCCAGGACAGGGCTTAAAAGAGGGACTGTCCTGGCCAAAACGGGACATATGGTCACCCTACTTCAAGGGGTCATGCTGAGAAAGAAGGGGAACCAACCTGCCCCCACCATGGGATCCACTGACCTTTCTTCAGATCATCCTTCCTCACCAGCTCTCCCCAACCCAGATGACTCCCTCCAACACACACACATACAGGTGGTTTCTCAATTTGATCTATGAGGGGGATAATCTAGGAGCATTTGGTTAATCCCTTGGGATAGATATTCTTTTGCCTGGAGACAGTTCTGCCCCGCAGACAGCCCTTACGCAGCTCTGAGACTCGGGTGTCTCTGGGGTGGGGCATAGGGACTGTTTATACAGGGATCCCTCCCTTGGTTCTGAGTCAGTTTCCTGTGGGGTGGTGTGCAGGGGCTGTTAATACAGGGTTCGCTGGTGTGGTGGGCTCAACATTGGTTTTGGGGAAGAGCACTCCCTGCTGAGTCTTGCAGGATGCCCGGAACAGCAGCATAGAGAGGTTTGGCACTGCCTGTTAACTCTGGAGCATAATGGTGACCACTTATATGTGACATGTAAATTGTGCTTGGGTTTTGGCCCAAAGGATGGGAGCAGCAGTAGGATTGTCCCTAAGATGTATAACCAGGGTTGCTTGTAGGGTTGGATGAACAGGGTGGTCACCTAACTTCCAGGGGGTACTGTGCCACTCAGCCTTTTTTCCCCCCTTTCCTGCAGCCACTACCTCAGGGCAGTGCAGTTGAGGGGGTACCCACAATGTTTGCAACACTGCCAGGCAAAATGCCTAGGATTGCTCCTGGGTACAGCCCAGCCAAACTATCCCTTTGGCAGTATTGCCAACCCCAAGTGTTCAAAAGTCATGAGATTGGCTTTAAAATCATGAGGTTATGTAAACATAATTGATTTGGTGTTTTTTAGTTGTCTTCTGCTTTTTGAGCCTTTAGGGTGCATTGTGGTCTCATTTTGAAGCTTTCTCCACAGCCACAAGGGCTAGAAACTTATTGTTCTTTAAGAATGAAGGCTGAAGTCCTCACATCTCCACTTGACTCCAGGAGTTGAGGCTTTAAGGAAAACTATAATTACCATGACAAAATCATGAGAGTTGGCAACACTGCTGTGGGCAAGGCTGGGTCTGGGCAGGGGCCAGAGTAATCAGCCAGGGAATGGGAAGGGAGTGGGGAGCAAGGACTCCAGAGCAGCTCTGGTCCCTCCCCCAACACCTAAGGCCTAGGACCAGTGGGGGTGGCCTCCCGGCTGCCCTAGATGTCCTTATAAGGAGTGGATGCTGCAGGAGGCGGGGCCTATTTTTGTGCTGCTGTTCACGCCCTTATTTGGAAGCGACGCAATGATGGGGGGAGGGAACAGAGCCAGGAAGGGGAAGGGGGCGGGCTTAGGGAGAGGCTCAGCCAACCAATCCGGTCTTCGGATTGGGCTGCCCTAGAGCCTGTCACTCTATATACATACCCCACCTCCCCTTGCACCGGTTCCCCCCACCCAACCCCCCCAGCCCCGGGACCAGCAGCGCCTGAACAACATGATTTATTATCGCAACTGTTGTTTTATTTCTAGGCGGGGTCCCACGTGGGAGGTTGGACCTCAGCCCCTGGGGAGGATCCCGCTACCAAGCCCCTTGGTCACTATCCTGGGGTCCCGGCTCCCACCCACCCTGCTGTAACCCTCTAGAGCGCCACCCAGAGCCGGGGCAAGCACCCAGGAGTCCAGGCTGCACCACCTGCTGCCCCCAGCACGGCAGCGGGTCTAAGTCTGGCCCCAGCCCAGGGCCCTGCAGGAGGCGTGGAGATGATTAAAGATCATCATCCCATTATTCAATGGGGTCTACGTTACCCATGATGCACTGCAACTGCAGGACACCCCGCTGTGCTTTCTCTCAGACTAGGCGCGCCGGCGCCTCCCTGCCCCCGGGACTACATCTCCCATGATCCCCCGGAATGCAGCTCTCATCCTTCCCTCGCGCTCCCCCCGCCATTTCCCTGCGCTTTGCGGCTCCTGCCCAGCGGCACGGACTCCATTTCCCTGCGTGCCCCACGGCCCGCGCCGCCCGGAAGTACCCCTCCCCCATAAAGCGGAAGCGGGCGGCCGGTTGGTTTGGGGCGGGGCAGTACTTGGTCTCGACACCGACCGACCGAGAAGCTGCTGCAGAGCGAACCCCGCGCAGCCCGGATCGTGATCCCCCTGCCCGCAGCACCATGGTGAGACCCCGGCCCGCCGCCGCCATCTTGTGCCCCGCGGCCGCCATCTTGCCTTTGGGGCGCCTATGGGATCCATAGGGGAAGGGGAGCGTGGCGTACCCGCCATCTCTGTAGGGGGCGCCTGTAAGAGCTATCGGGGATCCCGCTGTCTCGCTGTAGGATCCGATCTCGCTCTCCACACCACCTGTGGGGGAGGTGGGGCGCTGCTCTGTACTGGATTTCTATGAATGGGAGCTCCAAGGGGAGCCTCGTTTCCCCTATGGGATCTATAGGTGGCTGTTTGTCTGCTCCTTTCTGTGTCGGGAGGCCCGTGTAGGGTCCATGGGACTCTCGCCCTTTCCGAGGGGTTCCCTCCTACCTCCATAGGATCCATCTGGAGGTGCCTTTGGAATTCATAGCGGGTGTCTGCTTCCTTTTCCCGTGTGGGATTGGGATCCCTATGAGGGGCTCTTATAGGCTTTCTATAGGGCCTGTTCTGGCCACTTCTCTTATAGGTGCAGGTGTGTAGCAGGATGCAGATGGTGCACCCACGTGGGGCTGGCCCCTTCTCCCAGCCTCTGATGGGGTGGGGGCTAGTTATCTCTTAGGGGGCAGATTGTTCCAGGGGCTGCTATTGAATCAGAGCATGGGGGTTGGCAAAGGGAGATTCCCCCCCGCCCCCCAAAGCATGGGGTTTGAGGCTTGCCAGCCACCCCTAGTCCCATTTCTTCTTCCTGATGTCCTAGCTCCACTGTGGTCTGTGGGATCCTGTGACCTCAGGACTCCCCTTGTCTGCAGTAGTTATTTTTCCACTGCTACCCTTGGGGTGGTGGGGTGCAGGTGGTGATTGATGTGTCGAATGGGGCCAACTCACTAATGGGTGGGGCCCCTGGCAGGGGGCTGCCAGTGAGATGTGGGGTGGATACTGGAATGGGTGGGGAGATTCTCTCGCCTGTGAGGTCTGAAAGGGGGGCATAATGGGCCCTTCTGACATTAAAATCTGAGTCTAAGCTGAACCCATCTTTGTGCCCACGTTGTCCTAGCTCCCCCCGATCAGTCAATCCACTGTGCTGCTCTCAGCTCCCCATCCAAGTCTTAGCACCCCACTGCTCCCCTCTGATGTGCTATGATAGTGGGTGAGCGTGTTGCTCTGCAAAATGTCTGACTCCGTCTCTGCCTCGTGCTCCCAGCCCAGATGTCCCAGCTTGCCCTGGCCAAACCTGCTTCAGTCAGGGCCACCAGGGTGCCCTCATGGCCCTTGACAGCTCTGGACTGTCTTGAGGGGTGGGGGTGCTCCCATGCAGCCTATAGTGCCCTCCCAGTGCCCGTGTGCCTGAGGACAAAGATGCTGGTGGGAGGGGGATGGGAAGAGGTGCTTGGTTTGCCTGGTGCCTGGGCTCCTAGAATTGCCTGACTGGGGGATAAGGGGTGATAACTGCTTGGAGGGAAGGTGGGGAGACTTGGGGGTGGAGGGTACAGGGAAATCTGAGGGTGATTGGCAAAGGGTGCCGGCAGTGACCCGTGAACAGTCTAATTTCTTTGGCAGAATCAGTAGCATTGATTAGTATTTACAGGGTTAAGGTTTTTGCCATGGGTTCAGACAGGGCCGCTGGGCCTGGGAACAAAAGCCCTTTAGCCTCCTATGGGCCCACTCAATTAGGAGGCTGGGGAGCCGCTCCTGGCTGCAAGGGCCTCGCTGCAGGGGTGGATTTATTGGCTGAAGTATCTGGGCCCAGGCTTGGGGTTCTGCTGACTCTCTCCGGTGCTGGTCCCTGACAGGCCCTGTTCTGAGCCCTGCATTGCCCCCATGTCCCTTTCATTTTCCCCCTCCCCCCAGCAGCCGCCGCTGGAGCAAAGCGGCTGGTGCTTCCCCTAAAACAGCCTTCCTTTGCCATATAAGAGCATATCGCTGTGCTGCTTTGCCGGCCAGCTGCTGAAGCCAGACTCTGCTGAAGGGCCACCTCGGATCTTGGCTGGACCCTTGGGATCCAGTGGGGGGCCTGGGCTGGGTGGTTAGAATTTGGGGTGCTCACAGCTACTCAGATTGGCCCCCCTGCTGCCAGGCAGTGGCGTGTGAAGTGCTATGGCACGGCCCCAAATAATGAGGCGCTCGGTCTGAAGGTGTCTAGTGGGGGTGGGGAGAAGGGTGGGCTCAGTAGCGTGGGGGATGCTGTGCTCTGAACCCCGGGCCAGGAAGGAGGCTGTCGTGGAGGCTCAACAATCTGTCTCTTGGTGCAGTAAAGCAGTTGCCTTGGGGGAGGGGGAGAATGGGGGATGGAGGTAGGCATGGTTAGGGGGGTGGGGTTGGTTTCCTGGGGTGAGTGGGGAGTGGGAGGTAGGGTAGGCACAGGTTGAGCAGGGGAAATAAGGGATGGGAGGTGTGTGGTGGGGGGGGGGGGCTGGCAGGCACCGGGGGTAGTGGTCTCCTGGGGTGAATGGGGGGGGCTGGCAGGGCTCTGGGGGAGCAGGGGATGGGGGAAGGGTTGTCGCCCCATCCCTGCAGATGGTTGTTTGCAGCAGGTCCCTTGCCCCTGGGACTGTACCATGGGGGAAGGGCCCAGGCTGCTGGGTGGCGATGGGGAAGCAGTGGGCACAACCTCTTTCTGCACAGGTCACGTGCAGCGCCGTTTCCTGCGTGGGGTTTCAGGTTCCCGCCGGGGGTGCTTGCGTAAGGCACTGACACAGCGCTTCCCATTGTGCATGCCTCTGGCTAGGGCACCAGCAGCCCCACTTGGTTTGCTGCTGGCCCTTGCTGGAGTGTGTCTGCCCGTGTAACCAGCAACCTTGTCCACTGCTTGCCCGATCCATCCCCCCCACAACTCCAAAGCTGCAAAGCCTATGGCAGCTGCTGGGTTAAATCCTCTGGGCCCATTGGCTTGGGGCCTGGTAGAGTATGTGGCCCCCAGCACTGACGTTACCTGGCCCCCAAGGCCTCTTGGTGGGGGCAATGAGTGGATCCCCCAACAGTCCCCCTCTGCTTGGCTTCTGTTGTGAAGATCTGCCCCTCAGGGCTAGGAAATTCCAGTGTCTATTGCTCATGGCCCTTGGGAGTTGATGTGCTGGGGCTGATACCCCAGCAATGGACACCTCATTACCCAGTCTTTGAGGGCTGGGGGAGCCCCTAATGCCTCCTCCTCCTCTCTTTCTCCCT